AATCATAGAAGATGTTAGCTGGTAGATATCTAAGTTAATTCAAAAAAATGGTATGGATGTGTCATCTGGTCAATAAATCTTTTCTGAAGCTGTGGAGCGATAAGTACAGCATCCAACTACAACATAAACAAGATTTGTAGATTATAATATCAGCATTCAAACATGAAATATAATTAACGCAAAAGTTTCAAGAAAACCTTACTTGCTCAGTTCTATTAGTCTTTTCTTTAACAAAATCCAACTCTAGTGTGAGCAGTGCCAGCTTAAATTCATCCGGAGGAACAAATCTGAAAGCATATACTAGAAGAGCAGCACAACTCATGCTAGTTGGTGTGGAGAATACCTGTTAACTGAGATTTGATCACCAGATGAAACTCTTATATGCTGACGTTGGATGTGGCATTCAACGCAATATGATAGCTAGAAATGTTCTGATGAGCAGTATTTCTTTGTTAAGGTTCACATCAATCAACAAATATCTACCTGTAATTGAATTAGATCAATCTTCTGTCCGAGTAGCAAAACAAGAAGAAAGTTATACCAACGCCAAGAACAAAAGCGAGGACTTCCCACAAAAAGTGTCACCAACTGTATCCTCAATCTTTCTTGATAAGAAGCCGGAAGAATCATGAACAGAGTATGTAAATCCGGTTATCAAATCAACATTACAAAATCAAGAAATCAAAATCTTGAAAATTAAGGTACGGATCTCCGGTCATTCTTGATGAGAAGTCGGAAGAGTCATGAACAGAAGGTGCAAATACGACGATCAACTCAACATTCCTAATCCAAGAAACCAAAAATCTTGAAAATTAGAGTACGACCGACTGCGTTGTCAAATTTTCATGGTGACAAGATCCCAAGATAATCTCAAAAATAACACGGTGGATACAATTTCAATCCGTAATTTTAGCATGCAAATCATAAAGGCGAACAAGAGGAAGGATATCGTAGGGTGAGGACAACCAAATCTCCAACGAGGACGAGGACGTTGTTGGGCGAGTAAGGGTTCCTCAAAGAGAGGGCGACGACAGAGAGAGGGAGGAAAAGATCAAACCAGACTCATTAGGACGGAGGTTACAGAGGAGCCGATGCGTCGGTTTAAAGAAATGGGAAGAACGTGCAAGGCTTGATGAGAAAACTTCAAGATTAGCGCCCAAACAAATGGACGGTGAGATTGACTGCCCATCAAACATTCCATACGGGCCAAGACAAAGCTCGACTCCTCCTTAGCAGGCCGGCCCATGTAATCCGTAAATAACCAATAAGTGCAAGAAGACGAAGACTTGGCCATCATCTTCCACTGGAACCTAAATATATCATTTAATGAGTTCTGAAAACATGAGAATGGTAAACACAACAAAGAAGCAATAAAATTACAGAAGGTGGAGACAAGAAACTTCTCCTAAGATTTTCATGCAAAGCTCCAAAACACACATCTCCCTCGATCCTTCACGCGCATGACATTCCATTTTAACCCAAGGAAGGAAGGAGGTTAGGTTTGACGATTTTCCATACGGACAGGGAGAACTACAAAACGTACGAAGAACACCTTGTGGCCTCTGAATGCAATGCGCAGGTGATCTGCGCGGTGGGTGACGGGTGTGTGGCAGTCCCACTGTGACTCGTTCGGTGACACTTGATCGTCGTCCTTGCAGTCCACATTAATAGACTTTTTGGTGTGATATATCATCTGTCTGTAATGATCAGGTCTGACTATTCCAAAACTCGTCGTCACCCGCATGGCATAACGTCGAACACATGAAAGGCATGCAACACAACTCGAGAGTTCAAACGGCAGCAAATTCCAAATATGATAAAGCTGGAGTTCGATCAACTACACTAGAAGATACTTACTGAAGTTTGTCAAGTTTATAGTGATTAAGCCCAGACAACAATAATAAGGAATACCAACAAGACATACATGTCTATCTGTAATGTGAACCCATGCCGTGTGTGTTCCTCGAAAGATTCACCAGACCGTAGTTCCTGGGTAAGCCGGGCTCCTTCAGAAATGGCGCGTGAGAAATGGTACGGTGGGACCAGGCCCCACACGTCAATGATAGATGGGGGTAGGTTCGAGCAGGGGAGAGGAATCAGAGGTGCAAAAGAAACGCTCGAAAAGCCGATGTGGCCTCATAAATGAAAGCGGGCGGGTACGCGTCCCGTAGTGGTATAATTGTACCCGAAGGGGTTGCGATGTTGCGTCCCACGACGAGAGCGATGCATGCACCTCTTCCTCCCCTTCCTCTACAAAGGCCCCCTCCCACCCCCTCTCTTTCTCCTCGTTGCCTGTCGTCTCTCTATCTCTCTGCGTGTGTACAAGAATGCCACTGAAAATGACGCCCACGTAATTTTACGACAAGGAGTCCTTTAGCTTCCTCTTCCTCTTTATGGCTTCTCATATCCGCTGCCCCCTCACGGTCTAACTGCGAGACGATAAGCTTCGTTTGATGGGTCTAATGGCCGACCAAATGAAATGGACCTCCTCCGAGTCTGAAACCAGCGGGAACACTGCGCCAACCACCTCGTCCTCGTCTTCGTCGTCGTCGTCGAGGAGCTCGTCCATGGCCCTCAAAGGCGGCGTCACGGAGCAGCAAAAGCGGGGAAGGGACAGTAGGCGGCACCCGGTGTACCACGGGGTGCGGATGCGAGCGTGGGGGAAGTGGGTGTCTGAGATCCGGCAGCCACGCAAGAAGTCCCGCATCTGGCTCGGCACCTTCGCCACCCCCGAGATGGCCGCCCGGGCCCACGACGCTGCCGCCCTCTGCGTCAAGGGCCACGGCGCCGCAGCCACCATCCTCAACTTCCCGGAGCTCGCTGGCTCGCTACCCCGCCCAGCCTCCCTCTCCCCGCGCGACGTGCGGGAGGCCGCCACCCGGGCTGCGGCCATGGAGCCGCCGGGCGCATGCGGCCCCGCGTCGTGGTCGTCGTCTTCGGAGGGGCCTTCTCCGACGCCGACGGATGAGCTGGGTGAGATAGTGGAGCTCCCCACGCTAGGTGAGGGGCTCTTCGACTCTGCTACGCTTGGGGATGAGTTCATCTTCCATGACTCAGTGAACTCGTGGGCGTACCCACCGCCATTGATAGAGGTCGAAGAGGACAAGGATTTCTTCCCTGAGCCATTATGGTCACAGGAAGGTGACAATTCCACTGGCTGGGAAGCCCTCTCCTGCGGTTTCTGATATAGTTCATATATAATCTTAGATATGCACATTTCTTCTCCTACTCCTTCCAAGAGCTGTGCAATCCAGTGGAATGACTCAAAACGACGGCAAGAGCGTCCGCCATAGGGAGCAGATAGCAGTCAACAGTGTGTTGTGGCCATACTACATATGGCATTCTCTTCCAATATAGAAGACACAATAACTGCAGGCGCATTGCAATAGTCGAACGTGAAATGTAAAAGGAAGCATTCTCCTCTTCTTCGTCCGCCTCTCGCATTCAATCAAAAGAAGTACTTGCTTTGTTGGTTTGTTCTGAACCATCTTCTCCTCCTCTCCCTTTTTTCCTGCCCAGTGAAACTGTAGGACTTTACTGCACTCTCCAAGTGCTGTCTGCCTGTGTGCAGATGCCAATTTGCACTCTTCTACCTTTTTTACCTTGTTTGAGTGTACTTGATTTTATTTGCTCGATGCGAGTTCCGAGGTCAAAATGGATGCTCGACGTACGAGAACTGGCATTTTACCTCATATTTATAGTCTGTTTCCTTCCTGGGAATGAGCTGTATGCCCCTATTATTTGTTCCTGACATCTGATTGATCGGAGTTTATATATCCTCCAATGGAATAAAATATTCTGTCTGCGTGTAGATATACTATTCTCAAACATGCTAGTTTCACATGCTCATTCGCCATCACCGTGTACGGGTATATCAACGTAGGTAAATTATGTTCGTTGGCTTTGATAGGGCATATTATCGATTCCGTAGACACGACACCTATCACGTCAGCCCAAGTGCGAAGCCTCGGGAGGTAGATGCAGTTCCACGTTGGATGAGCCACCAGGAATGATGGTTATTCTCCTCCGGCGTCGAGGTTACACCAACCAGCATCGTCCTAACAAGGACCACATCAGAAAGCTCGGAACGGTACCGTATGGTGCCGTTTCACATATCCCGAGCGACGAATGTCCGAAGGTACACTCGTCACTTGGGGAGTCGATCGCCGTGCGAAGGTCATGTACAGTCGACCCTCATGCACTATGATAAAACCCCTTGCCAACATATGACAGGAGGGAATCGGGACAATAGAATTTCACTAACTTGATCTTTGGATGAGCCTAAGTCGGGACTCCCCTCCCCATCCCGACCTTGGCCATTGTGAACAAGGGTGGATGGGCTCGCTAAATAGGTACTTCCCAACCAACTCCGAGCTCGACCTGATCAAGCGAAGACTCTGTCCTCGAGACTATTCTGGACATCGTCAATCGAATCAACTCGTATTGACCCCACGACCACGGCTTAAGGTACACAAACAGGCTTGATCACTAATTATTATTGACATTGTGATTAATCATAAAAGCATCAATGCGAAAACAAATTCTCGGCAAATGAAACGTCACAGTCGTTGAAACATGAAAAACACCAATATCAATATCTTCATTTTACTTTTAGTATAGAATCTATGAGAAAAGGAAGACATGCCCACGTGATTGCATAATTCCAATATCGAAAGGCATGCAACTGATGCGGAGCACCACATTAACAAGCATGATGAATTCATGCTTGATAATGGCTCGGGTTTTAGGGGAAGAAAAGTTGGTGATGGATTCCTCAACGTCATGAGACAAACGACTGTAAGTTAACTCTTCTACATCAATGAGAGAGAAAGCATACTTATGTCACAAAGGAAGCTTTGCTGCCCATGTTTATAGGCATAAAAAACGTGTAATATCTATCACCTATAAAACTAGAGCAATCAATATATGTAGCTTAGTAATTTTTTATTATGTCGACCAACGATGCTCAATTAGAATTCACAACCACCATTTGGCTTTTGCATTGTTTTGCTCAACATGTGAACAATGCACCAACATAAGATTAAAAGTGGAAGGGTTGATTTAGTCGTATGGCCTCAGAACTAATGTCGTTGACCACAGATCAGACCTCACAATGGCCCCTGGAACGTACGGCATCCCATGACCCATGGCTGCCTACGAATCCCCATGCAATCGTGAGTGAGATGGAGGACATGCAGCTGGCACGCCCCCAGGAGAGCATGTGAAAGGCAGAGAAGACAGGAAACTACCGGTAGACGAATTTAGACAAACAGGTGTAGGGCACGTACAAAGCCAAGAGCTATGCGGCGTAATGGTGGAAAGGGATAACCGCAGAGAGATCACACGGCTCGTGTCGACGGTGGCTGATGAGGCAATGCATGGATTTTAAAGGGCCGTGCTGCATCTTCCAGAGAGATACGTTCCAAAGGCCTCCGTCGGTAAAGCCGTACTCCTTCCGTCTCCTTCGAGCTTTCGCAGATAGAGACGCCGCAGAGGACAAGGTGGTAGGTCGCAGCTTGAGAAGGTGTGGTGACCTAGCGACCATACTTGACAGCCTTTCTGCCGTGTTGGTCGCCAGCCGCCGGTCCCACAAGGCTAAAGGACCTTAGTAATACATGATTAACATCGTAATCATTCACAACAGTATTACTGATGATACCTCCGTAATCAATCATAATTATGATTAATATCATAATTGCATCTCTAATTCCTTCGAACATTTATAACAGCGCTAATTAAGCCTCCAAACTGTTCACAGCCAACGATGAGATGGCACATCAATCAAGTGAAGAAACAATGCTGTGATGAACGATATCAAAACAAGTAGATTCACGGAAAGAGAAGTCCAATTTGATTTTTTATTTGAAGGGCCCACAAGGATTGATGTGTGCATCATAATGAGATGCTGAAAGAACATTATGAACTCTATGAAGGTATGAAGTCTTGGTCCAAAAAATTTGCATGGCCGCAGTGTTTGAATGATGAAAGCATCAAAGAAGCTTAGCAGTAGGTGCCGATATGTTCAGATGATAAAGAAGACAACCGAGATAGATCATGTCACACATAGACAAGGTGCAGAATATTTTCTTAATATATATTGCTAACTACATGCAATAATCACTACTCACTCCCTCTTTAGGAAACAAGAAAGGAGTAGTTTATTCATATTAGAAAGGCTGACGTTAGGTCAATGTTGCTTACAATCATTAAGAAGAATAAATTATTTATAGATTATCATCTGTAATTTCCTATCTTCAATATCCTAATTTTTTTTATTTTTTCAAAAATCACATTCAGTTCTTTATATTTATAAACGATTCTTATTAAGGGTTTAAAAAGATAATATTATAAGATTAAAAATTAAAAATAATAAAATTAAATATTTTATTTTTATAAATATATTAAAAATATATAAATATTAAAATATTAAAAATAATTAATTACACAAGTAATATGTAATTAGCTCGCAAACAACAATATCTGAAACACCATCTTCTTAGCGGTCGAAAACAAAAAAATGTTGTAGAATAACTAAGATAAGAAAAGTTCTAATGATAAGGAGAGGATTAAAAATCCAAAAGAGCCGACGAAGTGTCCGATTCTGATTAGAAGGTAAGAGTAATGACACAAGAACTCCACATCATTGCCAATCTCAGAAACAACTTTTTTGAGACATTCTACCAACTTGCAGAGGTGCAAATCAAGCACATAAAACTGCTAACTGGCCATGATGTAGTTCAACATAATAAAGGATGACTAAATCAATACCCAGATAGCTGATGTCCGCTTCAAACTACAAAAATATGTCTCAAACATCAGTTCCAACATAGATGCATCCACCCCTTCCATAACAATTAAACAAGTGGAAGCATTTGTCTGATAAACAGAATTGATTTATCTGTTTTACAAATTCAAAATGCAGACATCTTTCTGATCAATCCTGTCAAGCTTTCATGGCAATGTGGTTTTCAGAAGGAGAATCCTTATGTAGAAAGAGGTCACCTAGACCTTCTGCGCCAACACGATAACCAGCACAAAGCAAAAGCCAGCTATGATCTAACTTCCCAACTCAGTTGAAACTACCAGCTTCCACCTAGTCGAGGGTCTCAATTTGAAGTACACCAAACAGTCTCAGGCCTCAAAAGCACAAAAGCTATGCCACTTCAGGCAATAAGTAATAATCACGGAAGAGGAGGAAGTACGAATATCCACCTTTCAAAATGTATCGGACCTCTGCTCAGAGTTGCGAAGAAGTATGGTCCATGGGTTTGACATTTTGCCTCCATGTCACTTTACTATGATATTATGAAGATTTTGATGTAGAAGATTTTGATGCTGAACAGCTTTGCTGCTCACAAGAAAATAACTATTCAGGCAAGTTCAGAATCCAAGGATTTAAGCACTTGTTATGAAATAAAACAGTAAAGAAGGCAACCTCTAGACCAACACAAAAATAGTGTCTTTCAATGACTACATAAAAAGGAATAATGATTTTATTCTCTAAAACTCGATATCAAAAAAATTAAATGCATGTGTGCCACAATTATATCATTAGACAGGAGTACCTAAGCATCGGTGAGCACGAACAGCCAATCTATTGCATCTTGGTGCTTGTTGAGCATAAGTATCTAAGTAAATATTCATTGGATGAACATGTATCAGTCAGATCCTGATGCAGCTTTGAAATTGCCTTCTGCAGGGACCTTAATGCCGGAAGCAGGCTTCGGGAATTCTGCTGAATGGCATGACCATGAGCCTTACATAGTTCCTGAAACAGAAGTGTCGTTAGTTGCCATCTAAATTAGGGTTGGTGATCGTATGGCTAACAGTTGGTTATCAGACCTGGCACCAGTGTAGAAGAAATTCAATATGCGGACAACTTTCTAAAAGATCAGCAAATGCTTCAATCAGACGCTGCAGGTACTTGATGGGCATGGATGAAGAAACAGCTGGGATATCTAATGGCTTCACAGAGAAAATGCATTTTTTAATCAGAGAATCTTCATTCAGGCGAAGGCTGAGTAACAATGCCCTTTGCGGCTGATACTTTTCAAGAGCTTCATCAACAGCCTACAAAATAGAAGGTTGGTTTCCAATAGTTGATATTTAGGTGAATTTTGTTGAAAATTAACAAGAAACTTATATGTAGCAGTACCTCAGGAGTTACATCCACATCAAGATCAGTTGGATCAAAAACAAAGGATTCATCAATTGAGTACATGAGGACTCCCTCTGTAGTTGCCGCAGCCCATGATCTCCCAGTAGGTGCAATTTTTAAACACTTTGTACGAACAATAGGCCGTCCACGGTTTGGCATGGATCCAGGTAAATCATGCCCCAGAATTTTCCGTGTTTGTTGATCAATCCCTTCTTCAACATCAGTATCCTCGTCATCAATTAAATCCACCGGCCCAGCATCCGTCATCTTTTTCGAGTTCAAAAAATCAAGAACTCCATCCAAGGACAGATTTCGAGTAATTTGAAATCGACGAAGCAGTACCTGACAAGTACAATGAACAATATGCTTAACAACTGACCAAAATTAAGTAACTGCAAAGCACCATTAGCGCATAAAGGAGAAAACCATATGCAAATGGCAAATGGATGACAGGTTCATTGCCAATACAAGTCATAGTATATAGTACTTATAAGACTTCAAAGGTATGAAGCCAAAGGTTTGACCAACATTTACTATTACAAGTGAAGGATTATGTCCTGATTTTCTCAATTCAATATACCAAGTAGCACAACAGAAAGAAAAAAAAATGGTACATTACCAAACAGAAAATTTTCAAAAAATGTTAGTGGAATCCTAACAAAATTGTAACAAAGAACCAACAAATATGCAAGACTATCAAACATTGAGATTACTAACCTGGTCTGCAATGTCATACATGCATATGTACTTGCTATTCCCACCAGCAAAAATATAGCTTCCATCTGCAGAATAGCACAATGTCGTAAAATACTTTCCTGAGCTCGAATTAGATGCTGATCTTCTATCTGTCATGAGACGTCCACCGGCAATGTCTCGGCGGCCCTCGATAGTGTACATTAACAGGCCATCAATAGGATCCCAAAAGTGAATATGACCATCTAATGTGCTGCAGGCCAGCTGCTTCCCATCTGGACGATAGACTACCGTAAGGACATCATGAGTATGAGGAAAAGTTTCGACTGCACCTTTCCCTTCAAATACATCCCATAAGCGAACAGTTTTGTCCCATGAAGATGACGCTAGAACAGACTGAAAGTGAAACACCATTAAGCCACCTCCCCATAATCATAATAGCATAGAATAAATATGTTTCATAATGTTTCCAAAATAACTCTTAGGAAAATAAAGGCTACAACAAATCAAAAAATGGACATGTTAAGACATTAACTAGAGAAATACTCATGCTGAAGAAAGCCATCAACAGGCAAACTACTTGTTACTAAACTATGCTGTCTATGCTAATATTAGGACGACCTTGGCATGCAGAAATCCAACACATTCTATTAGCACACTCATTGCATAAACCCCTGTACCGTTCCACAGAAAGCAAATTAAAGTAAAATATGTTGTGACTTACATTTGTAGGTGAAAACATTAACCCATGTACTGGTCCCTCATGGCCACCAAGAACATCCAATAAGCGACCAGTCTTCATAGACCAAACAAATATCTGTCACAAATATATAGAAGATATTGTTGTCAACCTCAAGTTGTAATCATGCACCAAAAGTTAGACATGAAGATATATATACCTCAAATGAATCAAGAGTTCCAGCACAAATCACTTCACCACTTGGATCCGATGATAAAGACACAAACTGTCTAGGAGAAGGAGTAGTAAAAGTCCTAAAATTCCGGTAACGAAACAAATCCCAAGCACGGACAGTCCCATCTAGTGATGCACTTAGAAGAGTATGATTATTAGCCATAAAATGGACTGCAGTGACAGCATTAGTGTGCTCAGATAAAGTTATGAAACAAAATCCCGATGAAACCGTCCAAACCTGCAAAGCAATCAACATATTCAGAGAAAACAATATTAAAAATTAAAAAGGAAGGACCGACAATAATAATAACAATAAAATTAAAAGAAATTTATTAGTCAACAAGTTGACAATAAAACTCACTGAAAATACTTGCAAGTCATTAATGATCTCATAGGGTCCGAAATATTAAAGTTTATGAACAGTAGCACTAGAGAATATCAATTGTACTCCATGTTGTTTTCACATGATATTGCAACATCTAAGACAGAAATTTAGATAAGGTCAGTAGTTGACATTGTTCAGAGATGAGACATTAAGAAGGGAGGAATCAATAGAAGACAACCAAAGAATGAATGGCAGCGACATCAAAATTGCAACTGTCAGAAACAACCAAATAGGATAGTTGTTGTTATGATTCAACGAGAGTATCTTGTGTCACCTTGAGTTTGTTATCATCAGCTCCTGTTGCCAACATCTGCGAATCGGGGGAGTATGCTATGCAGTTCACATCAAAATAATGTCCTTGTTGCTTTAAGATATAGCTCTCTGATCGCCACTCCCAGACTAGCAACTGTCCAAGCTTCGCACAACCAAATGTCAACCAGTTTCCAAGCTTGTTGAACACTGCCGTTGTGATCTTCTCCCTCGATATGGAAAGCAAGTGGATGCAAACAAAATCCGGCATCTGATACAGCCCAAAGACACCATTAGAGAACCCAACTACCACCATATCCAGCTCCCGGTGGTAATCACAAGCTGTTAATTTTGCAGGCGACTGCATAAAAAAATCTTTCTTCTGAAGCTCCCATCTGGCTTTATGCAAAGGAATCTCAGAATTTTCAACATCATTGCCACCAAAGTTCTTTCGTTTTTGGTTATGAAGCTCAATTTTGATGGGCACTTCAACGTGATCTCTTTCAGAGGATCTCTGTTCAGGTGTACCAGGAGAAGGAGGGTCCGAATTGAGCCCCTCCGAAGCATCAAAATCATGACTTTCCACCAAATTCCATGTAAATATGGCACCATCCCTTGAGATGGTGTACACCCTGAAGACCCTACCGCTCTTCTTCTCAGACGAAAAGAAGGCACCGACTATGGCATCCCTATGCCCTAGAAACAGGAACGGCTTATTTTGGCCCCGCGAACCCTTAGAGGAGAACAGCCTCACAGCAAGATCCTTCGACCCGACGAGGAGATACTCCGAGTCCGGGCTCCAATCCAACGCCGTCACGGTGCCGGTACAATCCGGGTAGGTTCGCTCGAGTTGGAAGGGGAAGAACTCCACGCGAAATCCGGGAGACCGCCAGATCTGGAGTAGCTTGCCGAGGCCGACGGCGATCAAAGAGCCGTCGGGGCTGAAGCGGAGGGCGGTAACGGGGCGCTTGAAGGTGATACGGTGGAGGACGGCGCGGCGGCGGAGGTTGACGAAGAGGGCGCGGGAGTTATTGTCGACAGCAAGGAGGAACGCGCCGTCGGGTGAAGCGACGATCCGGGCGATGTTGGATGAAGCTTCGAATGGAAGGGTCTGTGTCTGATACTTGAGGAGGTCGGTGGCAGCCACGCGGTTGCCGATGGAGGACAGCAGGACGGCATCGTCTGTTATGAGGACGTTACCGCCGCGGTACGGCGCACCCAGGAGGTTCGAGAAGCGAAAGTTCATTGCTAGCAGGCCGATCTTCAACCTTGGATTCTCGGGCTCAGATAAGAGGTGTTTGACGAAGACGAGGGAAGCGGGCAACCGACGGGACAACACGCCGACGGTACCTACGGCGAGCTCTTTTGAACCGAATTAATGCCGACGGCCACTAGGGTTTATCGACGGAGCCGCGGCCGAAACTGACCGCTTAGGTTCAAATCGGCCCTAAATTCCATCTCAGATACAATTCAACATCCGTGACATCTTTAATTGGGTGCGACTCGAACGCGATTCATCATTGGATCGGCATGTATCGACGATCATATGGTTCTTTAATTCACGTTAAATCTAAATAATTAAGAAATAAAAAGTAAGAAATTTTATCAAATGAGAAATTTACTGTAACCTAATTTTGAAGGAAAAAATAATAATTGAAGGAAAAAAAAAGGAAGAGTTTTTTTTGACTCGAGTAATTGAATAGAAATAGAAATCATCCTTTGGATTAATTTTTCCTAAGATAATTGTTTCGCCCCATCCTATAATGATTTCTATATTTGATTTCTTCTTATTTATAAGTAATTTATAAAGTTTTATTCTTTCTAATTTGTATTAAATCTTAATTTGAGAAACAAATTTGTTATTTATAACTATAATATTTTGTATAAAGTTTCGATCTACAGAAAAGTTAAATTTTTAGAAACTAGATTCTTGTCTTTTTCTTTCAATATCTTATTGGAATGATTTGGAATGCAAATATCTACTCAAATATTTATTTTAGTTGATTCTTTTAATTCTACTAAAGAAAGATAAAATGTTCTTATACAAAATGATTTGTAACCGAAAGTAAACTCATATATCTTTCAAAAAAATATTTTTTTGAGTAAATTAGAGTATAATTTATTATTCAAATATCTAGTATAATATACCTTATAGAATTTGCTAAAATAAATTTATTCTCAAAATTATCAATTCTTGCTTCTATTTTTTGAACTTAATTTTAACCAAAATTTCTCCCTCGAATGAGCCATTTATGGTTGCCTTAAACTTATGTATCCCTAATCACTGTTCTTATCATACATAAATATTTATCTAATATTATTTTATTCGAACATGTATATATTTTTATTGTTTGACATGTGCTTTATATATATTCTAACTTTATTGCTTAGAATATATTTTTGTACCTTGATATTTATGAGATAATATAAATATTTATCAAAAATGGAAAGAGAGTTATGTGTAGAGCATATAATTCTCTAATCTATGGTTTGCCGTACCGAACAGTACCGCCCGGTACGGGCGGTACGTACCGGTCCGACAGACAATCGATACGCGGACCGCCTCTTACCGTTCCGGCACTGTAGCAGTACTGTAGCAGTGCTACAGTGCTCGGTACACCTGTACCGTACCGTACCGAGCACGGGTCGAAACGCCGGTACGGTACGGTACGGCGAACCTTGCTCTAATCAGACCCAATGATTTCATTCAGATAACAATGGATGAATCTCTTAAACATACAGGACTAATGTTAATAGTCATTGAAAAATAAATAAATCATATTATATTATGATCTCACTTCATCCTATATATTCATCTGACATGTTTATATATTCGTATATGTTGTTTTCGATATAAATAAAACGAATAAAATATTAAATGTGATATTTGAGTTTATGTTTTATATTTATTTATTGATATACTCCTATAAAGCTCTTTACTCTATTATTATAAATGTATTAGAGAAAATAATAAATTTGGCTAGACTCTGTCTAATCACTTAGCATTTTGATATCAAATAGCTTTACATGTTACTCTTTGCCACCTTGTTAAATATGCTTTGATGAAATAATATGTATGACTCTTGTATCCATGCATTATACATTGATTCCTACTATGATTTGTTATCTCTTTATTATGACTCGTTAAGTTTTGGAGCTCACTCCCCTATTCTTACATAATTTTTTTTGATTAGCTTGTTACTCACCCTAAATTTTTTTTGATGGTTTAACATGATGTTGTTGTAAAAGTATATTTGATGTATTTTATAAAGGTTAAAAGAATCTCTCATATTTGAAAGTCTAGAATATTAAGTATAAAGTTTTATGTTGATATAAACTTATGATAAATGGTTGATTTATGATTATAGTAATTATTGCTCTTGTGGGTTTATAATAAGTTAAATAATTTGCGAGTTGACTTTAGGTTTTATGGAGTTATCATCAAATAATATATATATAATTAATGGGGAAGAAACGAAGAATAAATATACTGTTGGATCAAATGGAACCAAGTTCTTATGAAAACCAAGAACAGTTGTGCGAGCCGGTTCACCACCTCATGTGTTCCCCATTGGCTTCAAGATTCCATGAGAAAGAGAGAAAGAGGTTTGCTAAGAGCTACACTCCAATCATCGTATGGATCATAGAATTGTTCTTCCTGCGGTTAATGCTTTCAATAATGCAATGGAGATACTAAATCTTCACTTTTTGAAAATAAGATACGATTCATCAATCATACGTCGCCACTACAGAGAAAAATGTCTCCCGAGTCTAATGGAGATCGATCTCAATCTCCTAATAAGGTTATGATTTTGTTTTTCTGTAGAGAGAGAAAAAGAACTCCTTGAGAATCTTCTCGTCATCATGGTGGGGTTCATTAAATGATTCCGGGGTTGAACGCTGGGATCTAACACGTCACACATCAACAAGGTGCAATCTAGGCACGAGCCCACGACAGGGACGGCCGACAAGGATCGATGGGTCCATTGGCGCGGTCGGGGTGGAAATGGCCAGGAGCCGGCCCTACACGTGGACGCCGGCCGGTCTCTGACGCCTCGGCCGCACCACTTGACCACCCCTTCCTTCTTCGGCGAATCCATGGCGTGCCTCTTTGGGAAGGTGCTCCTCTGTGGGGAGCGCGGCGGCCGTGTCTGCCATCTCACCGCAACTCTCGTGTTCGGCCACTTCGTCTTGCCTAAGGGCAGTGTGTGCGTGCGTGATATTTTATTTGGGTAGTGGAGAGTTGGACAGGCCTTGCCTTGTTGAGTGAGAACACAGATCGACACAAAGAGACCGAGTGTGGTGAATGTTGTGATACACTTCCATCGTTGCTTGCACCCATTTTATCTTCTTCCGTCTCCGATCGAGTCCAGCAAACCATGTCAAAGCTGGCAACAAGTAGATCTTTCCTGACCGAGAGACATGCCCTGCACTGGGAACTGCTGCTTTTTGGCTGCCAGGAAGAACAAGTCAGCCACAGGACACTCCTGCATGCTTTCTAAGGGTGTTGTCGATTACGTTAACTATCATTTTATTTTCTTCTTCTTCTTTTTCTTCTGCATGATGTGGTAAATGAAACCAAGAACAACAACAACGACGACGACGACGACGACGACGACGAGAAGATGAGCAAACCGAGCATTTGGAGTGGTGTCATGTTGCTTTTGCAAGCCTATGGAATAATTTATGTGGACCGATGATGGGTGTTGGGATCGTCCACTCCAGATCGAAGTCATTTCGGGAAGGTGGCAGCAGCAACTAATGGGCTGTTTCTGGTGCTGTGAATTAAACTAATGGGGATGGTGTGCAGCAGCATCATTGCAGGGGGTCGAAAAAGCAGCAGCAAAGAAGCCTTCTTCTTCCCTCCCCCACCTTCCCCACTTTGGGCGGTAAGGAACCCATGCCTGATTCCTTCCATTATTCGCCGTCAATTTGATGCATGAAAAAGTGGGAATTATTTCCAGTGCTGTGCTCTTTCGTGTAGCTTAATGATCGGTTATGCGCGCCCAAGGTCAAATAGGCTACTTGACTTAGGCGTTAGGATCTACGATGCAACTTGCTTAGCCATTGTTTGGTCAATGGGATCTCACGTAACCCTACCTGCTTTACCTTTCCACAACATATCGAATTACCTAAGTAGTCTCATTCGGCCAATTTGATGACAATGAACGCGATCACTGCTTTAGCTCTGACATGCTATACTACTACTTAGATCTCTTTCTTTCTTCCAACCCACGAGTTCTCCTACAAACTTTTATCGTGGCACTCTTGTTCACTCGTCAGCCAGCAGCATAGCCTCAGAAAGATCAAAGAATAAACACTATGCAGATGCTAAAACAGTGCTGTCCCTGCCATAAATTACTCCATAATCTCTTGAGACAGGCAGACAAGCACATGAGAAATACTGGTTTTCTCGTCTTTCTGTTCTTCTCTAATGTTCCTGTTGCTTAGGGGCAATTATGAAAGCCAGACGTGCGCCTAGGAGACTTCATTGGTCCAAACCCCAAAAGATCCACTCCGGAAGAAACCACAGGTGGAATCAACCTTTAGCTAATGTGACTTCACCAAAGAAGATTCCTTCCATGACGCCAAGAGATCTATATATAGCCGACTTCCCCAGCACCATGCTCGGCAGCAAATCACATCCTTGTACTCACTTCCCTCGTACATCACCTTCGTGCGGCACCCCAACTCCCCATGGCTTCCACCTTATTCTTCCTCCCTTCACCTAAAACCACTGCTTCCCCCTCCAACAGACTCTCCGTTCCTGGGTTTCGTCCTCCGAGACTTCACTCGCTTAGATGGCGACCGGCAGTTTCCGTCAGGGCCAGCATCGCCACCAAACCACGGCCCACGGTCGTCCCCTTTGACCCAGCCGTCGAGACCAAACAGGACGTCGGCAGCGGCCGGAAGCTGGCGGCGTGGACCAGCATCCGACAGGAGCGGTGGGAAGGGGAGCTGGTCGTGGAGGGAGAGATCCCACTGTGGCTGGTACGTCAACTTGCATGCACGATTCCCTTTCGATAGTCTCGTTCTCTCAAGGAACCTGCAATCTCAACAATAACCATGCTTAATTTCTCCAACGTATGCAACGAAGTATGATCTGATGAAACAGTAGATTGTATTTAGCTTGGGCAAATATAATTTCCACCATCAAGTTCAAATGAATCCACGGTCAGATATTGCATACATGTGTTGGTCACCACACAGCTTGGACGCATCGCTGTCGCGACGTTTCCGTATTGTGTACACCATTTCAACGACATGCAGCAGCAGCCCCACGTCGAAGGCAGTTGCTTTCACGAGCTGCGAGGTGGATCATCGCCACGTCATTCCCATCTTGATCTCTTTGGGTGCCACATCATCTGTCAGAAGGCTAAGTCGTGACTAAAGTCGGCAAATGTGGCATGCACATTCCACATCGTCTGTCCTCCAATACAGCTAATATTGTAATCAAGGCTCGGTATTAATCTCTGTAGTGCGATTTGCAGAAGGGCACGTACCTGAGGAACGGGCCGGGCATATGGAACATCGACGACTACAACTTCCGCCACCTCTTCGACGGCTACGCCACCCTCGTCCGCGTCTGTTTTGAGCACGGCGGCGTCACGGCCTCGCACCGACAGATCGAGTCCGAGGCGTACAAAGCCGCCATGACGAACCGGCGGCTCTGCTACCGCGAGTTCTCCGAGGCCCCCAAACCTACCAGCTTCCTCGCCTACGTGGGCGAACTCGCAAGCCTCTTCTCCGGTGCGTCCCTCACCGACAACTCCAACACCGGCGTGGTCAGGCTCGGGGACGGCCGCGTGGTGTGCCTCACCGAGACCGTCAAGGGCTCCGTCCAGATCGACCCTGACACGCTCGACACCGTAGGGAGGTTCGTGTACGAAGACAACTTGGGCGGGCTAATACATTCGGCGCATCCGATAGTGACCGAGTCGGAGTTCCTGACGCTGTTGCCGGACTTGGTGAGGCCGGGTTACCTGGTGGTGAGGATGGAGCCCGGCAGCAACGAGCGGAAGGTGGTGGGGAGGGTGAATTGCCGGGGCGGGCCGGCTCCCGGGTGGGTGCACTCCTTCGCTGTCACGGACCGCTACGTGGTGGTGCCGGAGATGCCGCTGAGGTACTGCGTGCACAACCTGCTGAGGGCTGAGCCCACGCCGCTGTACAAGTTCGAGTGGCACCCCGAGTCCGGCAGTTACATGCACGTCATGTCCAAGGCCACCGGAAAGATCGTAATCTCCTCTTCTCCTACCACGATCCATTTCTTAAATGCTTCCCATCAATATCTCGTCCTCTTAGTTAAAAGATGCCGTGTCAGGTGGCCAGCGTTGAAGTCCCTCCGTTTCTGACCTTCCATTTCATCAATGCATACGAGGAGGTAGACGAAAACGGAAGAGTCACTGGAATCATAGCCGATTGCTGTGAGCACAACGCCGACACCAGCATCCTGGACATACTTCGCGTCCAAAATCTGAGATCGTTTACTGGTCTGGACGTACTACCTGATGCTAGGTATACTAAGTTACATACATTCTACTCCGAGAAACATTGAAAAGGAAGAAATCGTTCATGTTGTTTGGTTCGATCAGGGTGGGAAGGTTTAGGATCCCCTTGGATGGGAGCACGAGAGGAGAGTTGCTTGCAGCACTGGACCCAGAGGAGCACGGGAGGGGAATGGACATGTGCAGCATCAACCCGGCCTATCTGGGGAAGAAGTACAGATACGCCTACGCCTGTGGAGCCAGACGCCCCTGCAACTTCCCCAACACCCTCGCCAAGGTTTAGATCCCTTTCCTGTTCAACGTAGCAAGAAGGAAGCTATGCTATGTTTGTTGTGGCTGACTGCAGTTGCTTTCCTGAATCCAATTGCAGATCGACTTGGTGGAGAAGAAGGCAAAGAACTGGCACGAGGACGGTGCGGTGCCTTCGGAGCCATTCTTCGTGGCACGGCCAGGGGCCACCGAAGAGGATGATGGTAAGCTAATCATGAGCTCCTTAGTCCAACTATTCTGACTGCTGCTCTCGGTCGTTGACAATCCAACATCAACCTCCATCACTGTCCTTTCAGGTGTCGTGATCTCCATAGTGAGTGACAAAAATGGAGAAGGGTACGCACTGATGTTGGACGGAGCCACCTTCGAGGAGATCGCACGAGCCAAGTTCCCCTACGGACTCCCCTATGGCTTGCACGGATGCTGGGTTCCGAAGATGTAATCCGGCTGTGGCGCAGTAATGGTGGGCAGCGACATGTAAATCCCACACTTCGGACCCTCCCTCGCATTTCTTCCACACGCGTAGGTCTCTACAGATATAATTAAGTCAAGCAAGCGTGTGAATTATCGTTCAAGTAGCTCTTTTTCACTTATACTGCAAGAAATGCTGCCATATGTGTATATAATTCTGTCTTATGTATGCACGACATTATCTAATACAATCAAAGCAAACTTATCTAAACCGGAATGGGATTCCTTCGAATGAATTGCCGGTAGTGACCACCAGAACATCTACGGCTGTCGTCAAAGACTGTCACGGACCTAATGATGCCACTTTCCCATGTCTCGTACGGCACATGCCACGGAAACACGCACGAGAATGCTCGCTCGACAGCAATAGCGATAGCTTCATCATGATGCTTTATGATTCGAGCGCATGATGCAGATGCTGGTCTTGATGACAGGGGAAATGGGTTGGCCGCAACCACCGTCGATCACCGACGCCGCCTAATCGGCATTTACGAAAATGCCCGCATACACTGATCAACCCGTACCCGTAACGCACCCGCCGCCGCTTACGGTTTTTCATTGTGGGTCCCGCCGACTGCCACGATCACAACATACGAGTGGGATGAAGGGGTCCGTTAAATGTTTACTGTCTCCTGTGCGCTCAGCGGTCGACTGTACCGTCGGTAAATCGTCCAAAAACATAATTACTCTGTCCGTTGCAGTGAAATTAATTAAGTAAATAGAAACGAAAACTAAGATTATATGAATCTCTCACTAAAAACAACTTATAACAAATCAAAATATAAGCGAAAAACTAAGATTATAAGCCTCAATCAATCTCTCACGCAATTTATTCTCTTTCCCCCTCCCCCACTAAAACATAGAAAACAGAGAAAAAGCAGGGCGTGTGAGAAGCGGATAAAGGAGAAGAAACAGAAGCGAAACTAACAGAAGAAGAGAGGGCGTGGAAGAATCCGGTTCGCCGCGGTAATGGCTCGGGTTTTAGGAGGAGGAAGTCTCGGCGACTCCAAGAGGGAGAGCAACGGCAGCTCCTCCCTCCGCATTTCCTCCTCCACTGCCGCCGCCGACATGCCATCGCCTTTCGGTCAGTTGGGCGTCGCCCTTTCCGATCGTGAGCTCCGGGAGACCGCCTACGAGATCTTCGTCGCTGCATGCCGCACCACCGGCGCCAAGTCCCTCGCCTACGCCCCCCAGGCCGAGCGCTCGCCCTCGCTCTCCCCGTCGTCGGCCTCGCCGCTGCAGAGGTCGCTGACCTCCGCCGCCGCGAGCAAGATGAAGAAGACCCTGGGGATCAGGCCGTCGTCCAAGAAGGGAAGCCCGTCCAAGTCCGCGAAGAAGCCTGCCACCGTAGGAGAACTGATGAGGGTCCAGATGAGGGTCTCCGAGCAGACGGATTCCCGGATCCGGAAGGGTTTGGTCCGGATTGCTGCAGGGCAGGTGACCACCATATGTTCTCGTCGTTCTTCCATGAAATTGTTATACCATCTGATAATGTAGTAGGAACTTATCGGACTTCTTTACTAGATTCATGAAAAGTTTGTGTTGGAGATCTTAACCCGAGATCCATATGCAGTATGTTGAAGTTTGGTCATGCATTTTTTCTGAAGGTTTCTTATATATTGCTAATGATTGCATTTCTTTATAATCTTGCTGATCCAGTTAATCTAGACCTTACTTGTTTGGTTCAAAATGTTTGTGACGATTCTTATACACGAAATTGGCATATTCTCTTATAGACACTGTGTCATGGTGAAGAGGTTCTTTCTGTAAGTAGGTTTCTACCACATACTAATATTTTTTTATGCTACCCCCACAAAGTAGTTTGTGCTTTTTCACTGCAAAGATGAATTCTGTTTCCAGGGTGCTGTGTACCAAGGAATAAGTAAAGGCTAGTATTTCTGGCAGGATATGATACGTTTTCTATCATTCAACGGATTCCCGCAGCCCATAGTGCTTCAAGCTACTGCTTTCTGGCCATCAAACAGAAAAAAAAGATGCCATCATATAATTCTAGTGATGTAACAGCCATGCATGTTTCTTCCATTACATTGGTCATAGCTTATTTTTGTTGATATGGTAGGAGATACACAATGGTAAAGTTAAGGATCCATGATTGTCGTCTTGTTAATTCTTGTCTCCGTTTGGCTTCATTAACATGTACTTAAATGCTTTAATTGCTTCTCATTGACCTTTTATATGGAGCATGAAAGATATTATTTCAAATTGTTGGATTTCAAGACAATTTGTTTGATTGGTATTTATTAATAACACTCTGCACTAACAGCTAGGGAGGCGTGTGGAATCGATGGTTCTGCCTTTAGAGTTACTGCAGCAATTCAAGACTTCAGATTTTCCTGATCAGCAAGAATATGAAGCCTGGAAGACTAGAAACTTAAATGTTCTTGAGGCTGGATTACTCGTGCACCCTCTACTTCCATTAGAGAAATCAGATACTGCATCGCAACGACTTAGACAGATTATACGTGGAGCTTCAGGGAAGCCAATTGAAACAGGAAGAAATTCGGAGTCGATGCAAGTGCTTCGTAGTGCCGTGATGTCCATTGCTTGTAGATCTCCTGACGGATCTTCAGATTTTTGCCACTGGGCTGATGGCTTTCCACTAAATCTCCGCCTGTACCAAATGTTATTGGAAGCTTGTTTTGATGACAGTGAGGATGGATCAATAATTGATGAAATTGATGAGGTTCTAGAGTTGATAAAGAAGACTTGGGTTATCCTTGGCATAAACCAGATACTTCACAATCTTTGCTTTGCTTGGGTTTTGTTTCACTGCTTTGTTACTACTGGTGAAGCAGACATTGATTTGCTGTTTGCAGCTGATAACCAGATCGCTGAAGTTGCAAAGGATGCCAAAGCAACAAAAGATCCAGATTATTCAAAGATATTGAGTTCAACTTTGAGCTCAATATTGGGGTGGACAGAGAAAAGACTTCTCGCTTACCATGACACCTTCATTGCTAGTAATATTGAATTTTTTCAAGGTATCATATCCCTAGGAGTATCAGCTGCCAAGATACTAGTGGAAGACATTTCTAATGAATATCGTCGTAAGAGGAGAGAAGAATCTGATGTAGCTCGCAGCAGGGTTGATACATATATTCGGTCTTCACTCCGTACTGCTTTTGCTCAGGTAAGTCCTTCATAATTGTCAGTTTGAGTTCCTATTGACATACCTGGTCCTTTTCACTTTACCTTTTCCACAGGGCATCATAATTTTTACTACTTGAACTACACTTTACATATATTAATTATTTGTGTTACTATATTGATTTTTTTTTGCTCTAATTCATTCCAACGGCAAAACTTGGCTGAATATTTCACAAATAGTTCACCAACATGTACAAGTGAAAAATTCATTTTGTTAAAACTTTGTAGGAATTATGGATTCCAATTTAGTTGTTCTAATGGAAAGGTCGTAGGATTTGATTATATCTTCTAATATTAGTTATCTACTTTGTTATTTCTGAGCCAATAACTGACTTGACACAGAGAATGGAACAAGCAGACAGCAGGAGATCATCAAAGAACCATAATACTCCTACTCCTGTTCTTTCCATCCTGGCAAAGGACATCGGTGAACTAGCAAGAAAAGAAAAAGAGTTGTTCAGTCCAATATTAAAGAAGTGGCATCCCCTTGCTGCAGGTGTTGCTGTTGCTACCCTTCATTCTTGTTATGGAAGTGAACTGAGGCAGTTCATATCAAGCGCCACAGAAGTAACACCAGATACAGTTGAAGTGCTTAAAGCTGCAGACAAATTAGAGAAAGCTCTCGTGCATATTGCTGTTGAAGATTCTGTTGATAGCGAGGATGGGGGTAAGTCACTAATTCGAGAAATGCCGCCTTATGAGGCTGATATTGCAATTGCCAATCTTGTAAAGGTATGGATTAAGACAAGAGAAGAGAGACTAAAGGAGTGGGTTGATCGGAACTTGCAGCAAGAGGTTAGTTCTTGTACTGCATCTGCATGTAAATGTTCTTCATTTTACATACATAAAGGATCAGTGCGATATATGTAATCTGATATATGGTTTACTAAAATTTGCCATGGTGTTACTTTTTCTTTATTTGACTAAATATTTAAGTCAGTAATTACTCATTTATCTGTTTGATCGTGTTTCTAGACCATCATAACCTTTTACTCGTGTGTTCAGTGACTATTCTTTTTGCGAAAAGAAAAGTTGTAAAAAACTTATTTAATTCACTAATAATAAGATGTAAAAACATTCATTTAATTCACTAATAATAAGGTGATGTGCTTTATGCCTTGTTATGGTGTCCACAAATCATTTTACTGACAGCACATTATTCCTATAAGCATGCTGCAGTTATTTTCAATGGGGCTTTTATCTTGTATTGACTGATCCATTCTGTTCTCTGGAATGTCTGCAGAATTGGAACCCAAGGGCAAACATGGAAAATTGTGCTCCTTCTGCAACTGAAGCTCTACAGATAATTAATGAGACCTTAGATGCATTCTTTCAGCTGCCTATACAGATGCATGCAATGTTGCTTCCTGACTTATCGATAGAACTTGATAAAAGTCTGCAACGTTACGCATTGAAGGTGAAGTCTGGATGTGGTAAGTATCAAGTTGGACTGCCAACTGGTTGCTTCATTAGGCGGATATTAATTTATTGCCTGCTACTTTCTGTTTAGGAACACGAGGTAGTTTTGTTCCTCCATTTCCAGCATTAACAAGATGTGATATTGGGTCAAAACTATGGAAGAAAAAAGAGAAGTTGCAGAATTTACCAAAAAGGGGATCTCAAGTTCGATCGACAAATGGAGATATTTCTTTTGGTCTTCCACAGCTATGCGTACGCATGAATTCACTTCACTATATATGGACAGAGTTGGAGAACGTGGAGAAGAAAATAAAAACTTGTTTGAGGAATTTGGAATCAGCTCAGGCAGATATAGCAAATGGGTTGCAGATCAGCTTTGAAATGACTGTAGCTGCTTGTCATGAAGGAATTTTGCAACTATGCGAGACAACAGCATACAAGGTGATCTTTCATGACATGAGTCATGTTCTATGGGATGCCTTATACGTTGGTGGCACTGCTTCTTCTAGAATCGATCCTTTTATAAAGGAAGCCGCCCATATTCTTGAGACGATATCAAATACTGTGCACAGCAGGGTGAGGAATCGTGTTGTAACTGCAATGATGAAAGCTTCTTTTGACGGGTTTTTGCTAGTTCTTCTTGCCGGTGGACCATCTCGTGCATTCTCTCGCCAAGATTCAGAGATAATAGAGGTGGATTTTAGGTCACTCAAGGACATGTACCTGGCAGACGGGGATGGGTTGCCCCAAGAACTGGTCGAAAAGGCTGCATCACAAGTAAAAAACGTGCTGCCGCTATTTCACACTGATACTGAGAACCTCATTGAGCGGTTTAAACGTTTGATCACAGAAACGTATGGTGCTGCATCCAAGTCCAGGTACCCATTGCCTCCGACATCGGGGAATTGGAACCCCACCGAGGCCAATACAGTTTTACGGGTGTTGTGCCACCGACATGATGAGGCTGCCACTAGGTTTCTAAAGAAAACTTACAACCTCCCTAAGAAGCTGTAACCTCCCAAAGTACTGCATCCGATGGATAAATTACTGGTTCTCTGGCAGGTATCCGTTTGTTCCTTCCGAAATTTCAGTTCTAGAGTTGCTAGCAGTCTCAAACTGATAATACCAACATGCCTTTTTAATCCAATTAGGCTTTGTCTCAGTATGATTCATGTAGCTAATTGATCGAATCTCTTTTAGTTTATTGGGATCTTTGGATGTATGTGTATACCACGTTTAGCTGTATTCTTTTGTTTGACAGTAGTTTATTCTGTTCTGCATTTGTTCTATCTCTTAGCTTGTTTTCTCGCCTAGGTAATGTATGCTCAGATATGTTAAAGAAAAGCTAGTGTGAATAAGCTCCTTTTGTTTATGCAGTATGACCTAATTCTCACTGTCGTTGTTTTGAAGAAAGGGTAAACCAGGCACCAAAATCTTCAATATCACAGTTTACCTTTTCCTAGAAGATTATGGCTTTTACCCTCTGAAATGATCTCTCGTTTGTTGCTGTATTCTGATCCCCTCTCCATTTATGACAGCTATAATGATTATAAACTATGAGAAATCTCCCCGTTCATGCTATATAACTGAGTCGGAAGAGTTCCCATTACCCCCAATGGGTTGGTTAATATGCTACCCTTAGTTCCGTGCCCCATTCCTTACGTTTCTCTCAGCATAAGCTCCTCTCTCTGTCTTCCAATACCGGATTGAAGCCTAGTGGATGCACATAACAATGACCCGAATCTTTGACTTCATTGACCAATCGGAAGGTCGCAGTTATTCATTATTCCAGTCATATTACAGGATGCTCGTGGGTTCTAACATCATGATATTAAATCGAGAATGACGGATTTAGCCCTCAAAATCGACTTGACTTGCACAGGCTTACGATGGAGACAAGCTTGTCGGGGTTTTTCCGTCATTCGCGAAAGATGGCGGTGTCTGGTGTCCTGCTCGTAGATATTTTTTATGGACAGACCGGGTGTCATCCACATGGCTGCTGACACCCGGTCCGGTTCAATCACGTGTCCCAGGCCCACAACATGCCTGCTAGTCACGTGGCCCAGTAGCAAAAGCAATCAACAAAGGTGGATGGGTCAAATAAAATCAGAAAAAAAAGAAAAAGAAAAGAAAAGAAAAGAAAAGCCCACCACCCCACGCAACGACTACCCCACTCCCTCCTTTCGCAGTCTTTTCTTTT